CATGATCCCGGGGTCCTGGGATCGAGCCCCGCATCGGGCTCCCTGCTCAGCAGGAAGCCTGCTTCTCCCTCTCCCACTCCCCCTGCTTGTGTTCCCGCTCTGTGTCTCTGTCAAATAAATAAAATCTTTAAAACAAACAAACAAATAGAGGAAAAAAGAAAAGGGAGACCCACACTGGAGGCATCTGTCTCTAACCTGCCTCCGCAGCCCCATCTGTCCCCACCTCGGGAGTGCCCTGGGCTAGCGCCTATCGGGGCTGGCAGTGGCCCCAAACACCACCAAGCACCTGCTGACCACCAGGAGCTCTGAGCCAGTGCTGTGGACTGCAGTTCCCATCATGGCCACTCGAGGGCTTCTCCAGGGGAGCACAGCTGGATGCCAGTCTCGTGTCCCCCAACAGTGTCCACTCATTGCCCTCCAGTTCCGACAGGCCATAGTGGCAGGGCACAGGCTGGCCCTCTTTGCCTGGAGGGAGCCAACTGCAAGGCCTGGCAAGCAAGACTTTTGGGAATTTGACTGGCAAAGGCAATGACCAATCAGAACAGAGGTTGGCAACAGCACTGGAACAGGGTCCTGGGTATGGTGGTGATGGGGGGGAGAACCTGGGGGCAGTGACTATTTAACCCATGGCATGGCCCACTAGGGCACACCTATCCACGGTTAGCAGAGTATCAGCCCTGATGAGGTTGGCCATGGAACAACTGTCCTCTCCAAATAACACTGATGGCTTGCCCACAATAGCAGGGTGCTCAAATGTGTGCTTAAGATGCACCTGCGTGTCATTACAGGTACACAAAGAACTAGCTACTTACCTTGGGCTGCGTATCTACAAGAGCCATCCTCCACCAGAACATTATAGAAAGGCTGATGATGGCCATGAGGCAGGCTGTGGACGTTCATGTTTCGGATCCACTCGTGTCCCATCATGCAGGTGGGGTCCCAACCATAGATCACACAGTTATAGCCATACCTAATTAACATAAGAGCAATGGCAAATCAGTTCCCTGGGACCCTGTCATGGTGACTATGGGATATATAAATAATGGCTTGGTTCTCTTAAGCTCATGTCCTTAGAAACTTAACCGCGTTTACTAAGCATTTTTTAAGCATTTTTCAGGACACTCTTAGCCCCCTTTATAAACCCCTCTTATTATCAACATAGCATACCTCAGTTGGAAAAGAATAAACTTCAACCAACTGTCATGGGACAACTGGTTATCCAAATGGAGGGTATCAAGACTCAGGCCTGAGAGCAATGCACAATATTAGTGGGACAAAGGCCTAGATATAAAAGATAGCTTCATGACACAGGACAGGTTTAAGATTCCTTAAACCAGGTATGAAAAATTCAGCCCCTAAAGGCAAAGAGTACTCAATCAATTTAATAGTATTACAGGAGCCAGATCCAAGCAGACTGTTAAAAAACATATAGGGCAACCGGGGCAACAGGAACTCTTGACAAGATTGATGTGACGAGACGAAGGAATTGTTTGTCTTTCTTTAGATACGACAAGAGGATGGTATGTGTACTTGGGAACAACAGAACAAGCCTTTACCATTTAGGTACACGTACTACAACAGTCACAGAGGGAATAATGTCTGGTACGGGCCTGGGGAGGTGGGTGGGTGGGGGACAGCGAAGGCTAACCCTCACAACGGCCGAAGCTGGGTATGGGAGCATCTCTTGGTTCACTACACTCATCTCCACCGATGTAGGTCTGAAATTTCCATAATGAAGTTGGAAAAAAAAAAAAAAGAATGCAATAAAAGAATGAAAAACACTAGCCCCAAACTGGGAAAAGGTATTTGCAACGTATACGCATATACACACTAGCGGCAGGACACAGGCCTACGAACCAACGAGAAAGACAAAGGACTCAGGCGAAAAATAAGAATACTTGAAGAGGTGCTTCCTAAAAGGAAACGTGAAGGAGTTTCTGTACATTTACTAGTCAATGTGCATAATCAGACTGCAATCTGGGAAATGCAAACAAAAACCACAATGAAATTCTATTTGTCATTTACCACGTAAGTCCATTCTCAAAGGTCTGGCGAGAACACAGGTCGGTGAGATCAGGAACCCTCCCCTCCTAGCCTGCTCCTAGCCTGCCGGTGGGACATGCAGCACAGTTGCCGTGGAGACAGTTTAATTTCGCCGAGTAATCGACCACGCACATGCCTGACAACCCAGCAAACCCTACCCACAACTCAGATTCAAGGGGATTCAGATGAAAAGAAGCATCAGGACAATGAGGAAATGAGAAAAAAAAAACTCCCTGCTTACAGATCGTCCGTTAGAAGACTCGCAGTTAAGAAAGCGAGTCCCTTCCGACAACAAAAAGCGTAGATCCGGTTCAGAACAGTTCGGCCTTCGGTGGTTTCTGCGGTGGACACTGGGACGCGGTGGCTCCAGAGAAGCGTGCTCGGGGGCACGCCGCGCATCCTCTGCAGCCGCGTGGGGACAGACACCACAGGCACTCACCTCTTATGCTTCATAATGAGCCCAATGGAGTAGCAGACGTCTCTGTGCTTCTCGTGGGAGCGCAGCTTCACCTCCACGCCCACCTCCTCCTTCTTGCGCTCAATGTGCTCTAACGTGTGCTGTACCAGATAGCCCACCGCCCCGTGCTGCCCAGGGTCTAGGGTTTGAATGTGCTGGAGGATGTCAAGCACCTTCAAGACAAGACAGAAAGACTAGGAGATAATATTTTCATTTAGGCCTTTTCTTTTTCACGGCACAGGATTTAGACCTACATAACCTGGCAAAGGACGGCAAGGCGGGGCCATGCTGATGGCCCACATGTCTGTGAGTTGGTGGTCTCCCTTCTAAGGCTGGGCACCCCAGACCTTCAAGTCCAACCTGCGGCAACAGGGGAGTTACTCAGAAACACGGCATGCTGGAATAAGCATGGGGAAAGGAGGCCAGGCCTGCCACCCATGGGCACATCTGGATTAGAGAACTCTAAAAGGTTCTAACACTCTCGGTCAGTGTGGGGATTCCGTTTTTCATACACAGAAAGGAGACGATTTTAAACTGCCACTGGCCAACTGAGAGGTAAAAGAACTGCTAAGCTGCTTTGGTCCAGATCAAGGGGACATGTGACAGAGCGGCCTCTGTTGCACAAGGTGGAAGGGGCGACAGAGAAGCCACCCGAGTGATGCAAATCAGCTGAGCTGAAGAGGTGTCTCAGGTTCTGAAAGCGTACTGATCGTTTCAATTACTGTAACTCCCAGTGGAACGCTGTACTCAAGTGGGCAAGGAGAGACGTCTCTGTGGAATGGAAATGACTAAGCGGCTAGCGGCAGAACGGTCTGACTCGAAGGTCACGGTTTTTCCTACTGTACACAGGGCCTCTAAGGTAAAATGCAAATTCAAATAAAGTTTTACACACACACACACACACACACAATCATTCAGCGCCCATTCTATTACAGCATTCAGCAGAGGCTCTCGGACATGTTCCTCCTTGGGGAACAGGATCTCTTCCTCTTTACAGAGTCCTAAGACAGCATGCGAGCAGACAGAATGACCTGGATTCTAGTCCCAGATCCATCCAACTGGCTGGTTTTACCTTTAAATTAGTTTATTCACTTATCAAAAGATGATTAATAACTGTCCTATTTTCCTGATATATTTTGACCCAGTAAAAGTGTTGTGAAAACTAGTTTTTCGCAATGTAGGATGTTATTCCAAAACCTAATCTTGCCTTCCAGATTGAGTCCTGCAGGATCTCCATATTTACGAACACTGTGCCCAGCCCGTCATGTCTCTTACTTCCTTTATTCCTCCCAAGCTGAAAGGTTGGCAGTACCATCAGTGTGGACCTCCAGAAGAGGAATCAGACACCGTGAAGTTAAGGAACTTGCCTGAGGTCCCGAGGCTGTGAGGGGAGGGAGGATGTGGACCTGAGGCTGACTCTTCAATCTCAGGTCTCAACCACCATCTTACCAAAGCGAGAGCAAGAGCATTTTAATTCACTGTCCGGAAAATGGACTGAATGGTATAACCCTAAGTGCCTCAAACCCAGCTTCAACCAGTAGCAACTGAGAGCCAATTTCCACGCACATCCCACCTCTAGTGGTGTGCTTTCATTTGGGGGACACAAACATATTTATCCTACAATCTGTAGCTAAAAGCATGGAATTTGAATGCTGAGCTTCTATTTCCTATGCTTGCATATGGCTTCCCATGTGTTCCCGTACGCAGTTCCAAGTACAACTGACCCTTGAACAACATGGGTCTGAACTGCGTGGGTCCACTTACACGAGGATTGTTTCTAGCACAAGGCTGTAAATCTATTTTCTCAGTAACATTTTCTTTCCTCTAGCTTACTTTATTATAAAAATACAGTATGTTTTCCTATAACACATACAATATGTTCACCAATTATTTGCTATCAGTAAGGCTTCTGGTCAACAGCAAGGTGCTAGTTAAGTTCTGGGAGTGTCAAGTTATATGTGGATGTTTAACTGCATCGGGGGCAGCATCCCAACCCCTGGGGTTGCACAAGGGTCGACCACAGTTACTTTTGACTGCACTTCCGAGACATTCTGCAGACACAGCTCCCCCTCCTGAACTAGCAGCTCCTCCCTGGCAGCTAAGTGTAACAGATATAACTGTTCTAAGCATAGAGGAAGTCTCCAACTCACTCTGAGTATCAGGATGGGACAAGATTCAGGGGTAATTACAGCCTCCTTCTCCTGCTGTGTGGATGACAGGGTGAAGGAAGAGGGCAGAAACAGAAAAGATACTGGGATGGGGCCCTGGTGTGCTCCTGAAGGACAGCACTGATGGTGGGGTGCCATGATGTCTCCAACCAAATGTCTAGGCCAGTAATCCCAGGAGCCCACAGTTTTGGGGATAGAGATCTAAAAACCGGGGGGGGGGGGGGGGTCCTATCACTCATGATTGGCAACCTTTACCGTAAAGAGCCAGAGAGCAAATACTTCAGGCTTTGTGGGCCGTATGGTCTCCAACCCAACCACTCTTCTCTGCCCCCTGCGGCTGGAAAGCAGAGTAAACAAATGGGCTTTATTCGAGATGTGCCTTTGATGAAACTGCACAAAGCCCGTGGCAGAGTCTGCCGGCCCTGTTCTGTCCTAACTACAGGTTGCCCCCGTGGCTCTCTACGATGTGCTTGGCTTCACACCTCAGACAGCCACTTGTCTGTGGTCTCTGCTGCTTCTGGGGCTTCAGCTACCGGGTGCTGATGTGGGGAGCCCCTGCCGAATGCCCTCAGGCAGCTGCCCTTGATGGCCCCAGGTTGTACCAAATCCAACATACCCCACACTGAACACTTTCCCCTGCCCCTGAAACAAGTCTGTTCTCCACTCACTCACTCTTAATGTGGCCAGTCTTCCTTGTTGGAAAAGCTGGACATCCTCTGCCTCATTATCTAATGAAGTTCCGACACTTCTTAATCCTACATTCCAACATCTTTTTGAGCACCTACCCATGTCGTGGGAATGGTGTTAAGAGCAAGGGGAGTAGCTACGGTGAAGAACAAAGCAAATGTGGTCCTTGTCCTTGGAGAGCCTAGTCCATGGTGAAGGCACGGTGAACAAGCAGCCACAGTACGCTTACAGAAAGGTCTTCGAAAGGACGAGCACACGGCTGGTGGGCTGGGGGAAGCTGACTGCCATGGAGGGACCGAGGAAGGGCTTTCAGAGGTGAAGCTGAAGCTGAAGCTCGGCAAAAGGGAGCCAGCAAATGGGACTGAGGGCTAAGGGAAGTGTTTTAGGCGGTGCTGCGGGCCGTGCCAAGGACCAAGGCAAGAGACCAGGGATGAGTGGAGGACATGGCCAGGCAGCGAAGCACCAAAGGGGCAACCGTGAGAGCCAAGGAAGCTCAGGCTGGGCCAGACCCCCGAGAACCTGGTAAGCCTTCCTGCAGAGAATGAGCTGGATCTGCAAGGCCCTGGGGTAGCCCCTCAGAGGGCTCTGAGCACTTTATGAAGGTGGCTCCGGCTACGCTGTGCAAAACGCGTCCAAAGCGTCTAAGAGGGAGGGAGGAGCAGGCAGGCGGCCTCTGCAATAGTCCAGGAGACAAAGCCACGTGCAGATGTGCAGTGGACACGGGGGGGTGTTGGTCTGGAGCCCAGGGTCCAGGCAGAACGTCAGTCAGGAGCTGTCAGCCTACAGATGGTAACCGAAGCAAGGAGGCCAGGCGGCATCACCTTGGGGAAAGGTGTAGAGTCAACAGAAGTCTAAGAAATGACCCCGCAGCGCGGAGCCTCTGGGGAAGAAACACAGGATAAGGATCTAGCAAGAGCCGGAGAACCACGGGCCACAGAGTCAAAGGCACAGAGGGTTCTGAGTGGCGAGCGGTCCCAATGATCAAGAGAGATAAGGAAAGACGAGTACCTATGGGTCTGGTGACAAGAATGGTTTCGGTAAAAAGGGGTCACTGGCTCCCTTGGCAAGAGCGGCGTGTGTGCAGGGGGAATGATCGCCATGTTCTGGGGCACGCGTGGGAGGCAAGGCAGGCGGCCATCACACGGCACGGTCGCACGGCCGGCCAGGGCCTGAGCCCTGCAGGGAGGAGAGAGATAAGGAGGCAGCCGCAGGGGATGCCCGCGGGGCTGTCACAGGCGTGCTTTTTATCTTCTCTCCCAAAGATGAGAGATACTGGAGGCAGGAGAATGCTGATGGCAGAGAGCAGAAACAGGGAGTTGTAGACAGAGGAAAACACAGTGGGATCCAGAGCACAGAGGGCTGCCTTGGAAAACTGGAAGGACATCTTTCCCAGCAAGATGTAGAGCAAGGAGGGAGGTCCGGCAGCAGGAAGCGGGACGTGCCCAGGCGTGGGCTTCACCGTCGCCCTGTAGCCTGCTGGCCCACAGGGGTGAGGTGTGAGGGTGGGCTCAGGTGCCAAACTGCCCTCCCACAACTCCGGAGCCATCGACGCCTGTGTGGGTGGCCTCAGCAGGTTACCCGACTTCTGCCGCCTCGGTTTCATTATTTACAGAATGGCAAAAACCCAGCACCCACCCTACAGGGTTGGAAGGAGGTATCTGCTAAGCGTCAGCGACCTTTTCAAAATCCGGCCATCCTACTCTCTCTCTCCATCACGGCCACAGTAGCCCTGGATTTCAGCCACTGTGACCCAGTGGACCTGTTTCTTAGCTCTTCCTGATTTACTTCAATTGAAAACAAGGTGACTTTCCCATCTTCCCAGTTTGGAAATGTTTCCCTTTTACCTAATAAGGCCACACTAATTCCAAACTATCCAGAAACTGATCCAAAAAATATTTTACACACACTCACACACTCTCATGTTTATACACACATGTGTATGTACGTAAACCCTTGTCCAGCGGGCCTGCAGCACCGAGCTGGCCCACCTTTGTGCCATGGACGGGTGGGAATAACCTACTTTTTTTTTTTTAAGATTTTATTTTATTTATTTGAGAGAGAGAGAATGAGAGACAGAGAGCATGAGAGGGAGGAGGGTCAGAGGGAGAAGCAGA